AAAAGGTTTACCACAAGAGTCATGTTGTTGAGGTGCTCAAACCCACTAATACGAAACTGAAGAATTCCACCAAGAACCATAACAACAACAAAAACTCCTTCAAAGTACAAAATCCTCAGTGGAATCAGAATAAGAAAATACCCCTTCACGAGATGAGACATCTGAACCATTCTTGTGCTACAACTATGACATCCTTAGGCATTTAGCTAAAAAACTATCACAACAATTGTCATGCTGCTCCTCAGGATAACCTACCTGAGGATCAACTTGTTGCAAAGATATCTGAGTTCAACTTAGTTGATGGATCCAAGGGGTGGTGGGTGGAAACTGGTGCCTCACGCCATGTCTACTAGGATCGTGGACTTCTCAAATCCTACTTTGAGGCTGAAGACATAAGGGTTTTATTGGGTGATTCTCACTTAATTAATGTTGCTGGAATTGGTGAAGTTGAGTTGAGATTCACTTAAGGCAAGATTATTATTTTGAATGAGTTGCTGCATATGGCTAAAATAAGAAAGAATATGGTCTTTGGCTATCTAATCAACAAGGCTACATTCACTCAAACAATTAAGGCTGACATGGGAAAGTCGTATGCTATTGATGGAATGTTTAAGTTGAATTTGATACTATGAAAAAAGTTGTTGCTTCTACTTGCATATTGTGTTCGTTTAATGCTTGGCATGCAAGACTTTGTCACGTAAACAAAAGATTGGTTAAACAAATAAGTAACTTTATTTTAATACCAGAACGTTCACTAAATGACTTTGAGAAGTGTGAACACATGAATCAGTCTTAAGGGAATATGAACCACTTCATCTAATTAATATGCAAATTTGATTGTGTAGTAACTATAAATTGGAAACGTTACTTGATCACTTTTATAGATGGTAACTATAATTATTGTTATGTCTATCTCATGAAACATAAAAGTGAAGCTCTTGACATATTTAAACTCTTCATAATTGAAGTAGAATACCAATTCAATTGAAAAATAAAAAGGCTATGCAGTGATAGAGGACAAGAGTATAGATCGGGAGCTTTTAATGAATATTGTAAAACCCTGGGAATTCTACATAAGACCATTGCACCATACTCTCCAGTAAGTAAAGCTAAAATAGGACTTTTTGTGAACTAATTGTGGTTGTTCTACTTAGCTCAAGTATTGCATCTTTGTGGTGGGGGTGAGATCTTGTTCACTGTCCATTATGTGCTTAAAAGAGTTCCTACTTCGAAAACCAAAACTCCACCTTATGGAATTTGGAAACATAAGAAACCAAATGTGTCTTCTTTAAGAACTTTGGGTTGTCTGGCTTATGTACGAAAACCTGGTCCTAAAAGATCAAAGTTGGCTAGTAGAGCATATGAATGTGTGTTCATTGGTTATGCATACAATAGCAAAGCATATAGGTTTATGATTTGAAGAATCATGTTATTATCAAATCGAATGATGCAGATTTCTTTGAGAATAAGTTTCCTATTAAATCAAGAAATAGTGGGGCTTAACTTCTATAAATTTGAATATACCTAAGATTGATGAACATGCAATTACAGATTCGGTCGAAACTGATTTTGAACCAAGGAAAAGTAAAAGAACAAAGATTGCCAAGGATTTTGGTTTAATATCGGTTTTGATTTTCATGTTTACAATTAGGAGGAGATCCTAGAACACTTCAACAAGCATTGACTTCCTTGGATGCAAACTAATGGCAAAAAGCCATCAAATTCTCTTGAATCCAATAGAACTTGGCATGTAGTGGATCTTCATCCAGGCTGTAAGGCAATTAGATGTAAATAGATACTAAACCCTGAGGGTACATTAGAGAAATTTAAGGCTAGGTTGGTGGCCAAAGGTTTTAGGCAAAGAGAAAATGTTGATTTCTTTGACCCTTATTCACCTGTTATTAGAATAACTTCAATTAGAGTTTCGTTTGCATTATTTTCCATTCATAGTCTTATTATGCATTAAATGGATGTTAAAACTACTCTTTTGAATAGTGATTTAGAAGAAGAGATTTACATGGATCAACTTGAAGGTTTTATTATTCCTCGACAAGTGCATAAATTGTGTTAAGTTAGATGAATCTCTTTATGGCTTGAAACAAGCACATAAACAATGGCATGCTAAATTTGATAGTTTACTCATCTCCAATGGTTTCAAAACTAATACAGTGACAAATGCATCTACTTCAAAACTAAAAATAATCTTTGCATTGTGATATGTTTGTTTGTTGATGATATGTTGATATTTGGTTCTAATATTCATGTAGTGAATGATGTTAAATCCCTGCTATGTGATAAGTTCGACATGAAAGATCTAGGTGAAGCAATATTCCTTGGATAAAGAATACTAGGTCTGTAAATGGATTTTCTCTAGATCAATCCCACTACATATAGAAGATTCTAAAGCAAAACAATTATTGTAAACCAAAATGTAGATCAATCCCACTACATAGAGAAGATTCTAAAGAAAAACAATTATTGCAAACCAAAATGAACTCCCTATAATCTTAATGTGAAGTTGTTCAAGAACATTGGCAACAGTGTTAGAAAGTTTGAGTATGCGAGCATCATGGGTAGCCTTCATTATGTTACTGATTGCACTAGGTTAGACATAGCTTATGCTATTAAAGTCTTATGTAGGTTTACAAGCAATCCTAATGTGGACCATTGGCGTGCTATTGAAAGGGTCATGAGATACCTTAAAAGGACTATGAACTATGGATTATTTTATGAGAAGTTTCCTGCTATCCTTGAACGATATATCAATGCTGATTGGAATACCCTTTTCAGAAGGGTATGAAGCCACAAATGGCTATATGTTTAATATGGATTGGGTTGCTGTGTCATTTCTAAGAAACAAACTATATTGACTCAGCCTATAATGGAGTCAGGAATGATTGCTCTAGCAACTGTTAGTGAATAGACAGGACGGTTAAAAGACTTGTTGCCAGATACTTCTTTATAGGAGAAGCCTATACCAATTATTCTCTCCCACTGTGATTGCACAGCAGCTATCGCAAAGATTCAGAATCGACATTATAATGGTAAAAGACGACAAATATGTCGTAAACATAGCACAATTAGAGGATTCCTCTTTGTTGGAGATGTTATAATGGAAAACCTCCAAACAAATGGGGTTAAAGCCCTTAAATAACTGAGTCATTTGTGATGGTAACCTAACCGATGAACTGGAGATCCCAAGACATAGGTTCAATAGGTAAAAATAAGTCATGAAGTGACATGAAGTCATGAAGTGACATGAAGTCATGAAGTGACACGAAGTTATGTAATTCTTCTACTGAAGTAATTTTCATTCCTTATAGAAGCATGACATCTTGTAGCGATAAAAGGTTGGGTTAATGTTACTCTTAATGAGATATATATTCTTTTATTGAGTGAGTCTCTAGCTATAGGAATATCCTTTGATAGTCTAACCTATGTGATGGTGGAGACGAGGCCGAGGCCGCCTCCAATGAAGTTTTGGGGCAAACTTGTAGCACTATTTGGAGATTCGAACCGGGGATTTGGGACCTGGAGAAAACTTAGCACTATCTAAAGTCGAACTCGTGACTTGGTGGCAGTAGCAAGAGGTGCTCACCTTACACGTACACACTGACCACACATGCCAAGCTTAGCTCTTAAATGTTCATTTCTCACCCCAACCGTTTCTCGACTTCTCTCTTTAACCTTGAGCCCAAAGCCGTGAAGGCTCTCTCTCCACTAATGCCCATCATCGCTATACTTTCCTTCCAAAAGAAACCCAGCATCCTTCATCATAAAGCTCAGACCACCACAAATTCACCTCCATACTTTCCATGTCTGAGTGCAAGTCGTCCCTGCAGCATCTCTCTACTGTTAGCCACGATACATCCAAGCCCATTTCCCTGCCAAACCCATCCATAAAAACCACGGAATACAATTCACAAATATACCATATCTTCTTGAAACTCAGTCCAAACTCGGACCCAAAACTCAAATTGTTCGTCAAGAAATGCATCTGTCTCGAATCTTAGTGTGTTTGTAGTCATCTCAACCGGATTTGATCTCCCTGAAATGTAAAATTACTTCCTTCAACTCCCTTTAGACCTTATCTATAATATTGTGGCTAAAAGTTGAGGTCTAAAGGAGGCTGTATGTATGTGTGCGCTTTTGTGGTACATATCCCACTATAGGTTATGGAGAAGAGGAGCATAAACGGAAGTGACATTAGTGCTCGAAACCGAAGGGAAAACAAGTAATAGATGACTCAAAACCCTCAAGTCTAGAAGTAAAGGTATAATTCCTTAACCCATAGATCAATTTTCGACATGGATCTATTGAAAGGTTGTGGTGGCACATAAACTTAGGTAGGTACTGGCCCTTTAATTTTAGCGTTTTCCACCAAACTGCTACCATTACTCTCCGCACATTGGGATGTTTGAATAACGTAGAATTCATTTAAACCTTGTGGATTAGCAACTGCTTGATTAGGAAATTTTGAATTGGAATTGTTTTCTTGTTCTGCCAATTGATACAAGAGCTGCTCAGCTTGTATCCTGCATCATACAGTTGGTATCCTGCATCGCGTGGTTGCTTCATTCAACATAACAATGAGTAGGTTCTCCCAAGGTGCTTTTGCTAGCACATTGGGCTGCTGAATATCTACCCGCATAGAATTAGGATGCTATGTCCACCCCGAATTGTAAAAATTTGAATAGGGATTGCGCATAGGCCTTTGAGAGTTGTTCATCATATTATTATGGTGTTGCATAGACTTTGGAAAGTATTCCCTCCGGGTACAATGCAAAAGTATCATGGGTATTCAAATTGTAAAAAGCACAAACTATAGGTGCAAATCCAAAATATCACATTACTGCTAATGAATCTCATAAAGGCGGTCATCCTGGTGGTGGCAGGGCCGGTCTTGAGTTTTTTGGTGTCTAGTGCGAAAGCTCAAAATGTGCCATTTTTTAATGTAGAAACATATGTTTAAAAAAATATTTAACGAGGATAATCACATGTATGTGTAAAAAAAGTCATCACTAATAACATGCAAAATGGCTTCCAATTTCTGTCATGTATGTATAAACATTTATTCACATCAACCAAATTATGATTAAAAACAGATGGATAATCACATATACAAACCTGTAAATGGCTTTTGACTTCATCATTAGTAAGCCCGTCAACCTTCATTAACTCTTTAATTTGTTTTGGTGTAGTAGCTGCAAGAAAAAAAAAACCAATCACATAACGCATTAAACACACATCCAATACATCCCAATCCAATCAGATATTCCTCCAATCATACAAAATAGAGGTATTCATCAATTTACCCCCAGGATTGGCCAACACAAATCTCCCTGTGCAACATTTCCAGAAAAAACGCTTTCGAAATCTTCACTGGTATCCATTTGCAAATCCACAAAGATAAGTAATTAATGTTTCATATCAATCACATTGACAAACAAACTAAACAAGCTCCTCAAAATGTACCAAATTTGATATTTATTAACATAATCAAAGCAATTAAACAAACACCAAAATTGAAAGTAATACAAATATTTGACCCATAAAAAATACACAAGTAAAATGTATGAAAAAAGGTCAGAAATTAGAAAGGGAGTGTATTAATACATACATAAAGGAACCAAATCTTAAGAAATCTGATGTCATCCCTGTACTGAGCATTGTCCTTGAATGCAGTGATCAGTCGGATAGAAGCTTGGTGAGATCCGACCCGGAATCCTTCCTTTCCAGAGTGAAAATCTTCTAGGGCTTGCTTCACTGACCTAGTTTGGTAACTAATTTCAGTAACAATTTGAACAAATTGAAGGGTAAGAGACTGAGAGAGAGAGAGAGAGAGAGAGAGAGAGTACCATCCACTCCTCAATCATGTGGTCGTCGTCTGATTCGTCGGAGTCCACGCCATTATCGGGAAGGGTGGCGATTGAAGGGCAGAACAATTCAAGCAAAAGAAACGAACTTTCCGACTCAGAACACAAAAATTAAGCTGAAATTTGAATAGGATCTGTGTTCTCCGTAGTACCTGGGCAGTTGTTTGACAAGTTCCAAGCAGAGAGGGAGCTCCCTCTGAAAAACTTGAATCTTTTGCCTCTTCTCCATGCCCAAAACCTGGACGAGTTGTCCCCTCCAGATCACCTATTTTGGGCTCTCTGAACAATATTTTTTTTAATTTTTTATACCCAATTATTTGGACTTTTTTTTTTTGGTGCCCCCTTCAGTTTTGGGCCCTGGGTGGTGGTTTGAATCCAGAAGGTATGAATCCCATCGTTGCACTACCTCCAAATCAACAAAATATATATATATATAATCAAGTAAATAAAAAGATGTACACAAAAATAATTAACTAAGCATACGATAAACACAAATTTTTTAAAAAGAAATCCTCGGCACCATCGTCAATTTCTTGATAAGATGTTTACTACCTGCAAAAGTAGGGATAAAAACACTTATAAATACTTGCAAGAGAAAAAGGTAATTATAATATAAACGGTTCAAGCAAGATCATTCTCCACAGAGATTATTTAACATTATTTATGTTAAACCAAATCATAATTAATTATTAAAACAAAGTTTTGGAAAAGATTGATTTTGTGACTTAAATTATTTGTTTGTACCATACTTGACCAATCCTGAAACTATTGATCACCGGTCAACGTTATACGGTCAAGGACCCAGAAAAGTTTCCCTCCAACCAGGAGGCCAATCACAGCGCGACACGTGTCGACATCAGAAGCCAATCTTAGCGCGATACGTGTCAACATCATAAGCCAATCACAACACGACACGTGTCAATGTTAGAATGAAACTAGAAACTCTCTTCTATAAATAGAGATCATTCTCTCACAATATTGTCTAATGTCATTTGTACTAAATCATTCACTAGTACTCACAAAAGGAGAGCTTGAACCTATGTATTTGTGTATACCCTTCATAATTAATGAGAACTCCTCTACACCGTGGACATAGCCAATCTGAGTGAACCACGTACATCTTGTGTTTGCTTCCCTATCCCTATCCATTTACATACTTATCCACACTAGTGACCGGAGCAATCTAGCAAAGGTCACAAACTTAACACTTTCTGTTGTACCAAAGTCCTCGCTGATTTTGTGCATCGGCATTATTAAAAACGAATTTAAATTGACACACCCCAACCCGAATTGTCCACCTGGACACCTGAATCAAAATGTGATGGTCGACACCCAAAAGGTGACGAAGCCAAAAAGTGATGGTGATGTGGAAAGTGCTGCTAAAAGTAACCAATTCTAGAGTGTACATGTGAGCGAGATTGACCCATTTCACACAAGTGATGTTCAGAGCATAAGTAAATTGCAGTAAAATAAGAGTAAGGACATCTATACCGAAAGTAGAAGTCTGCTACATGATAGCTTTTATTAGCAATCCTCGTCGTCATGAAACCTCCGCCACTAAAATCCTAGAAGGGTGAAAAACAAAGGTGAGTGGGCCTGAAAAATAAAGTTTTGTAAACCTTGTCAAAAATGTGTAACCCTTCATTGTAAAACAAGTATATAGTTTCCGGAAATATTACAATAATATATGTAATAGGTATCCTGCAATACAAGTGAGCCAAAGGATGTAGGGCACTATAAGAAGGTATCTCAACATTAAATCTCAAATCATTATCACAAGAAATCATTGCTTATTCATTTATGTAGGCACACAAGTCCATTACAGAGATACTCAGACAATGGGACAGGCTGGGTGTAGGTTTTACATTCTAGTACTACATCACGTGAGTTGCGCTAATCGCATCACATACGAGTCCAAAACATCACACAAAAGGACAGGCTAGCACCTAACTATGGATCCCAAGCGAATGTATATAGTGCATATGAACTACACATGAAGCTAGTCCTTGGTCCAGGGCAGTACAAATAACTAAGAGACACTGTGCAAATATGTAACAATGAACAAATAAAATGCAAGGATCTCATGCCACAAGTTTATGCTCTCAAATAATATTAAAAATATAAAGTGTAAGAAAAGTCTATTTGTAAAGTTAACATGGCAAGTCACATCTTAGTATATAAAAGCAGTTGTCGGGAAAAATCACACATATATATACGTAAAAAGGAAAAGACCCACTCACAATACATATAGGTTGAAACCATCCAACTATTCTGCCCGCGGTACTCCTCCGGGTGGTCCTCTCCTTAAGAACAGAATTTTCGTTGGAAATTTGGAAAGAAATTCAATTGCCCCGTTCAGAGCTGTTACACAACCAAAGTTGACCCATAATATATCAAAACGAATTTTAGGACAAGGGGAATAAGATTATTCCTATTTTAAGACCAAAAGATGGTTGGAGCTCGTCGGAAAATGCCATAAAAGTGACAGCCCGAGGTGGAGTTCTTCATTTTCGTCGGTTTCGAAGTGGATTCGAGCATGCAAGCTCAAACCCGTGGTCTAGGGGTCGGGGGAAATCGTCATATGCCTTCAACTCAACCAAACTAACGGGGTTCGGCTGGGTTTCGCTTGGGAATCCTACAAACTTTGACGGAAAAACATAGTAAGGAAATACATCCTTCAAATGCTCTGAAAAGTGCATGCATACTAAGAATATTTACCAAAAACTCGAGGGAGAGTTTGAGAGTGAGAAGTCCAGGCTTCCTGTGGTCCAAGGAGTGAAAGTTTCACCAACGTTTGTCGAGCTACACAACCGGGTCTTCGTTTTCCCTTGGGTTTTTCCCACGGTCAAGGGTTAAGAGTAAGTTGCATAGACCCTTAGAAATTTTTGAGTGAATTTTGGGGAGTTTTTGGCAGCATTTGGAGATGGTGTTGTGGTTATTTGGCTTGCACTGAGAAGGAGATAGTGAGGAGAGCTAAGTGAGAGAAAGCTGAGTGATAAGAGAGAGAGAGAGAGAGAGAGAGAGAGAGAGAGAGAGAGAGAGAGAGAGAGAGAGAGAGAAAGTTTAATGGGTAGAGAGAGAAAGGGAGAGATGTGAGGGAGAGTGATGGGATGTGGTGTGGTGTGTGTGTGTGTGTAAAACAGAGAGAGAGAGAGAGTGTGAGAGCCAGTTAAGTGAGGGGAAAAGGAAAAAGTGATGGGGAGTTATAATGTCTGATGGAATTGATGTCACAAGAGTGTGGGTTTTAAAACCCATTAAAATATATGTTTAATGCAAATTGCATATTAAAGCCATCACAAGTAACCAAGCATTAGCATGAAGCCTCTTTAAGGATGATTCATGCTTCCCACGCCAAGGTGCACATTGCACGATGTCAGTTTTTAAAATTAGAATTTATTTTAGGTACATTTACACTGTTTCGAACATAACATGTTCGTTATAAATTTCACTACTATTGAGAACAAAATACAATAAATCTCGAGATGAGATGTCACAATCTACCCCCTTAAGAAAATTTCATCCTCGAAATTAGAAGCAACAAAATTTAATCAAGGAAGAAACATGGATACAAGTCTCTCACATGTTTCTTCGTTTTCTATGTAGCCTCTTCAGCAGAGTGGTTTCTTTGAATTATGTATTGCTTGTGTCCATACGATTGTAGTGACGAACACTATGAGAGTAAGGATTTGTTTGTCTTAGGGTTGTGCCCAAACAATAATTAATTAGGCACAAGACCTAATTAATAAAATACTACTGGAGACGGGCCTACTTGGCCACTTGCTTAACGAACCCAACAAATAGGTCATCAATATCATAGTTTGCAACCTACAATACCGACAAATGACCGCTGTCTCGATAAATAAGTAATGGAACCACGAAAATGTAAAATTACTATGTTGCCCTTCATTAGGAAAAGTGCATAAATCGTGCAATTTATGCCTCGTTCACGCTCACTTGTTCGTAAGAACACGTACTACCTAGAAGATGAGAAAAGAGACCAAAAGTGACATAGCCGACCAAGAGCGTTTAGGGAAATAAAATATAAAAAAAGAAATGTGGAACATGATTATGTCAATTGGTCTAGAGGGTGTCCTCGTGGACCAACAGAAGATGAGCACCATATGAAGTCGGTCGACAATCACCAAAACAGCATTATAGTCTCCACGTGTACGAAGTGGCACGTACATGAAGTCCATGGTGATATTCTCTCATATCCATCCGAATATAAGGAGCGACTATAACAACTCAAACAATTTCTTTCTTTCTGCTTTGGCCTGCCGAAAAATTAGGTATTTGCTTAATAACTAAGCAGTCTTCGTTTTCATCTCAGGTCAAAGGTAGAAAGGTCAGACTTGAAAATTAGCTAACAAAGTTTTCTGATGGTCTATAAGTAATGTCACATTAATACTTGTGAGTTATAACTGAAATAGAATTTGACGGTCAAGTCATCCATGTGTTTTTCTGCTAAGATTGTCAGCAACTACGTTTGCCCAACTAGGGTAGTACATGATGGTGC